TTGCGGAAAGTCAGATATTTTATTCTCCTAAGAATGTGTTTACTATTTCCTTAAAAAAAAACTATCAAGTCTGGTTTAAAGCACCGGGCAAAATGCCTTCAGCCAAAATCAGTAAATACGCAAGTGGTGTTGAAACTCTATTCTAGAAAATAATATAGAAACAGGAGTTTAAGGAGGCCATTGGTTGACCCACCTTAAGGGTACATTGATTATCAGAAATCACAGGTGAAATGTATCATCTTTGCTTTTTTAAAAAAGAGGACTTCTTTTTTTAACATCTTACAAACCCTTCTAAGATCTGTAGCAAGGTAAGCGTACAGCGCATGGCGATTCATGTTTGGTACTCAAAAGATACTGCTCTCTGAGACTTGGTTCCGCAGGTCGCCACTGGCTGGAAGCTGTGCATGTTGTCCTCAAGCGCTTCAATAGACAAGATGGGAAATACCACAAATTTGATTTAAAAAGAAAAAAAAAAGAATATGTAAAGGCAACCATTCATCCTGGTGCATGAATCTGACGATTTTTAAGAATATAATTATTGATGCTGAGAATGTCGTTCAGTGAAACCATATCAAGACTTATGTTGATAACATAATATGATGTAAAACAAGGCTGTCAAGGGACAGGCAGAATCCCGATATGTTTTGTTGGCTTTTGACATTTTGATCAGACGTTATTATTAGTCATTTTAGGTATATTTTGAATATGTGGAGGGAATTTTTCCTTCATTTGCTCGTTGTTATCGCTTGATTCTAGTCATGGACCATTGTTTGAGAAGAGTGTGTGGTTGGCAGGTGCTCTTGTGTGGTTTGCTCCTTCTTTCCTATCAAACATCTATCGTCCTTATCACTCCTCCTTCTTTTGTGAGTTTGGTACTCTCTTGTAACACCTTTAATCTTCGGCACTAATACAATCGTATTGTCTTTCAAGTGTCGTATAATACTTACTAAGACAAAACAATGAGAAGAAAGGAGGTTGAAGAAATACCTCTTCACAGAGTTAAGTTCAATATGTTGTAAATACTGAAAAAAAAACCCTGAATTGAATAACACTATGTGCCCTTATGTGATATCCAGATTTGTGACGAACGCGTGGCCTTCACTAGGCTTCCAAGTCAGGTATACATTGAGTAAAGAAAACTCGGAAACAGATCTCTTTTCACTCTAGGTGTACTCATCATCAAATTCGTTTGGCACTAACCTTTTGGCCTAAATATGTTTTCTATATTTGAGATATCTAGAAAAAATACATTTAAATCCGTGAGTTTAGCCAATTCACAAAGATTTGTCTACTATAACATATCGAATGCTTTTAATACAAAAATAACAGAAAAAATGTGGGAGAGGGATAAGTCTGACTTAGGCTAAAATGTTAGTACGATGACGGTCTGTTCTGTTCTTGATTAACGATAATACAATAATAATATTATACCAACCTCGAAGATGTTTCCCTGAGTTGTGTACAGCTTATAGATGGCCCATGCTGGGATGGGAACAAATGTGGATACAGAGAGAACCCAGCCGCAAGCCTGGAGAACCTCTCCATACACATACTGGTCCACAGTCGGGGGGGTGTAGGATTTCAGGGTGAAGACAAACACTACCTTTTGGGGGGTAAAGAGGCCAGATCGTAAATAGTACGCGCACGCGGACATACACAAACAAACAAACGCACACACACACACACACACACACACACACACACACACACACACACACACATACAAACACATACATACATCTTTATGCAAGAAAAATTCTGAAATCATGCAAACTGAGCCCAAAAATGGGAAATTATGAAATTCTGTTAATTTTAACAAAGAATGATAAAAGAAAATAATCAGAAATTATGCAAAAAATGATCAAATTTTGCTAAATTATGCGGGGTGCATTAAACCACGGGGACAGATACACTCACGAGACTGTATCAAGCCGTGCATTAAAAATTGACTGAGCAAATTATAGCATGTTTTAGTTTAAAAGTAAATACTTTGAAGGCGAAGTTCATTAATCAGTAACGCCGTAAATCTATGAGCCATGGGTAACGGTCTTGTTCACGAGAAAGTGACACGTTGTAAGAAAAACGTTTGACACAGGAGTACATTCATGGAGTGGCCTAAAAGAAACGAAATACATAATATAATTTTTCATGAAAAAAAGGATTTTGTTTGTTTTATTTTGTTTTGCTTTGTTTATTTGCTTGTTTGTAATAGTAATAATAATAATAATAGTAATAATAATAATAATAATAATAATAATAATAATAATAATAATAATAATAATAATAATAATAATGGATTGCATTTATATAGCTCTATATCCCATACTAGTATAAGCTCTGAGTGCTTTACACCAATCACACGATTATTCAAACAAGAAAAAATATTTCACAGAAATAAGAAAAACCAGTTCAACCACATAAAGACATAAACCACATACCCCCTTCTACCCACCCTCCCCCTTTCCCCGGTTTTCCCCCTAACCCCCAGCCCCTGCCTCCTTACCGATAGCATTGCCGGCGTGACGAACCTCCACAGGACGACAAAAATGTAGGGCGGTTTCTTTCCTATCATGAGCTCAACATCTTTCAAGAAACGATGTGCACCTGGTGAGGTATGGAAAGCAAACAACTAAAGACAATACTGATATGAATTTTATATTAATAATATGGGGATAAGTTTGCAAGTATTCACTGCAAAAACAGCAAATCTACATGCCTTTCACAGTGAATGGGGACCTGCAATCGTATAGAACACGCTATTATCGCGAAATAATTACCCCTCACCCCTCGGTTTGGACACGAATTTTTTTCGCCCCCTCCTGCCCACCCAGCAGTAATGGGTACCTGACTTCGAGTTGGGAAAATAAAGGTGGCGTGGAAAGGAACTGGCCACCCTGCCACAATATGCCGAAGGCCCAGGAAGTTGTCTCACTAACAAAACAATCCCCAAGGTCCGGATCGGATACGGGAACAACTTTACTTTAACCCATTTCCTAAAGATAGCCTTTGAAGTCTACTTCATACCTCCATTCGCAACATACTTGTCGTACTACATAAACTGGGGCCTTTTCTCACTGTGGGGCAAGCATGTGAACATCCTTGACGTCATTCACGAAAGAAGACTTTAACTAGAGCGTGTCCATTTAGCTTTACTGTTTAAGATAATCTACTTTTTTTTCACTGTTCACAGCTATTCAAAGCATGACAGAGTCATTCGAATGCAGTAATGTGTGATTTGTACGAATGGTGAATTTTTCCCCCAATTATTTCAATCTGTCTAAAATCTAAAAACATTGAGGTAAATACAACAATACTTTGTACTTGATGACTACGAGACGGAGTAGATAGTGGAGCCAACAAAGGGAGTGAAAAAATTCATCCAAAAAGGGCTCACGGCTATCCAACATTAACTCGTCACTAGGAGAAAGGGTGGAATTGTGAAAGTGCAAACACAGTCATTGCAAAAATATCTCACTCTGAAGAAATATTTCTAAGTTATGAAATGTTTTAAAGGCAAGTTTTACCAGGTTACACACCAAGTCAGCTTTTAAAAAATGAAAAAAAAATGTAAATAGCTATATTTGGTGAGTCAGGTCTTTAAGACACCAAGAAAATAGTTTCCATACATTCATTTCAATCAATCAATTAGGCCATTCGACGTAGAGTGATGTTTTTTTGGTGCTAATTTTTACTCCGATAAATTGAATCATCCCCATCGTTTGTTTTAACAACTCACCGTACACCCAGGAGACCATGACACACTCCAGTACACCAACACAGACCGTAGTGACAGCGGACAAATACCAGTCGATCAGTTGAAAAATGTACATTCCTCCCTTGAGATAGTTATAATAATTATAAATAAAAAAAAATAGAATGAAAAGATAAATGCATACATAAATGACACATTATTTATCTCCGTGGTGAAATCAGGTCACAATGTGTGTGTGTGTGTGTGTGT